GGGGAGGCGAGCACCCCCCTGAGCGTGCCTCACTTCTGGCCAGGTTATTACTGCGACTCCAGTGCTGGGCCCGTCCAGGACTTCAGCCTGTACCCTTGTCCTCAAGGCTATTACTGCCCCCTGGGCACAGCTGTGGCCACACACCACAGCTGCCCAGTGGGCACTTACGGCCCTCGGAAGGGGCTGAGGAGCATCACTGAGTGCCTGCTGTGCCCCGCTGGGAAGTTCTGTGCGCTGGCAGGGCTCGCAGCGCCCACAGGTGTGTCTGGGGCAGAAAAGGCCTTAGGCGGCGGGTGGGGGCTCCTCTGGAGGGTCTTTAGCGTCTCTGCCCCCCCATTAACTGGTTTGGGTGGGGGAAAGAAGGAGGATGTTACTTTCTTGGGGTGTTTGGGCGGCTCTGGTATGAAATGGCTGGAAATGGTTTGATCTGTAAGGAAAATCCAGGCTTGGCAGTTGACAGTCTTAGAGGAGGACAAACCCCAAACTGGCCCAGACCCCACACCCGCTCTGACCCTGGAGCTTGGTACTGACTGAACCTGGAGGAGGGCATCCCATGGCCCGGGGCTGCTCGAGCTGGCTTCGGGCCAGGACCCCTGCAGTCTGTCGTGAGGGACAGGGGTGCAGGGAAGCGTGAGCACCCGGTGCCTCGTGCTGTACTCTCCGGTGAGGGACACGGCGGGGTGGCTGACAAGATGTCCTCTCTCCTAGGAGACTGTGCTGCAGGGCACTGGTGCAAGGGAGGAGCCACCAGCAAGGACCCCGCTGATGGGGCACGAGGCCTCCTCTGCCCTGCTGGGCACTACTGCCTCGAGGGTACCTCACCACCTCTGGGGCCCCTCCAGTCATGGCAGGGCGGAATAGGGTCGACTTCCTTCCAGCCCTCTGCTGGTTGAAGGCAGGTCTCCAGGGCTTTGAGCCTTTCTCCCAGCACAGACCACAGTGGCCCAAAGTGACAGGCAGTGCTGAGCCCTGCAGGACCCTTCCTTCCCCCAGCACCCCTCCTCCTGGGACGCCCTCCCCGCACTGCTCAGCAGTCCTCACCCTTCCCTCCCCCAGCACCCCTCCTCCTGGGACGCCCTCCCCGCACTGCTCAGCAGTCCTCACCCTTCCCTCCCCCAGCACCCCTCCTCCAGGGATGCCCTCCCCACACTGCTCAGCAGTCCTCACCCTTCCCTCCCCCAGCACCCCTCCTCCCGGGACGCCCTCCCCGCACTGCTCAGCAGTCCTCACCCTTCCCTCCCCCAGCACCCCTCCTCCCAGGACACCCTCCCCACACTGCTCAGCAGTCCTCACCCTTCCCTCCCCCAGCCTGGACTTCGGGGACCTCACCTGAGCAACTGGCCTTCCTCCCTTGCCCCTCAGGCCTTGGTCCCTCCACACTAAGGATGCTTTTCAGGCCTGCTCACTCCTCCCCCACCTTGGGCCTCCCTTGCAGGATTGCAAGCGTCTTTCATTGATTCGGTGAAGTTGACCCAAGGACTCCAAAGCTGACCCGGTCCCTGCCCTCTGGAAGCCAAGAGGGGAAAGCATTTCCACCCTGGTCTGCTGGGAGGGAGAGATCCAGGGGATGGGAGCCCAGCACAGTGCAGGGTCTCCCCCGGACCACTGGGAGCCAACAAAACTGCCTGGCCTCTTTCCCTCCATTCCTCTGACTTCTGCAGGAGCTTCAGTCCCAGCCAGATGCCCACCTGGTACCTGGTCTGAGGAAGGGAACCAAACCCCAGAAGGATGTCAAGATTGCTATGGAGGACGACTCTGCTCTGGCAGCCACCCATCAATCTGGCCAGCACCCGGCCACCCAGGGTGAGCAAACAGTTTGTCTCCTCTAAGAGACAGGGAACAGTGTCCACAGAGTAAGGAGTTGGCTCTACCCCAGGGTCTGGACCTGGGCAGAGAGCACAGGGAAGGAGGAGCCATTCCTATTGGCCTGCAAGGCCTATAGGCCACTTGCAGACATGCAAAGTCAGGCTACACTGGGTGCAGCATGCTGGAACCTGGCTGCTTTGCAGATAAGGTCTGGAAGGACATCAGTGTCCAGACTTGTGGCAGTACTTCTCATCTCTGCCACCTCCCATCCCACCCTGAGCAGGGCCAAGCTGACGATCCTGGGGTCCAGCTTGGAGGGTGGGAGGCCACGAAGCGGGAGGAGTCAGGAGTGAGCAGGCTAGGAAGGGTCTCAGGCCCATGCTTGAAGCCCGTCCACTGCACTTGGCTGCGTGTTCCTCAGTGACTCTCCTCAGCTGAGGCCCTTTTGCTTGGCCCACATTTTTCCAGCATTTCCTGCACTGAGGGAACTGTCTCTGCCACCACCATGGAAGGGGTCTCTGGGAGATCCTGCCCCCCAGGGCCCTTCAGCCCTCTGGGCATGGCTGAGCCCACTCCATGTCCTCCTGGCTCCTACACCTCCAGTACCCGCACAACGAAATGTCACATCTGTCCCAGTGGCCGCTACTGTGTTCCAGGGCTGAGGCCACAGCTGTGTCCAAGAGGTTAGTGTCCTGCCAGCAGCCTGGCTCACTGAGCAAAGGAGCCAAAGCAAAAGGGGGAAGTGGGGGCAGTCACCTGCAAAGCAGTTATCTCCCCCGCTTCCCTTAAAGGCCCTGGCTGTATATTTTGATAACAAGGTGGCAACCCCTCCATTTAAGGAGCTTTACCTTTCCTGGGCAGAAGCCCTCACTGCGCAGAAGCCAGGCCTCCATGCCGGGCCCCCAGAGCTCAGAGTCTTCCCTTCTCCAGCCTCCTTCCAGCTTCCTCCTCAGGCCCTAGTCTCACCCTTGCTCCCTTCACAGGTTTCTACTGCCCTGAAGGGACAGGGCTCAACTGGCAGCCCTGCCCCCCGGGCACCTACAGCCCAGTGCCCGGACTGGGCAGCCTGCCGGGATGTCGAGCCTGTGACGGAGGCAGGTTCTGCCCCAGGGCCAGTGCCACGGAGGCGGGCGGACAGTGCTGGGAGGGCTTCTTCTGCTCCAGAGGGTCCACCCGGCCCAACCCAGAGGCTGGCACTGAAGGTACTGGACCCTCCCCACTGAACCCTGAGCCCCTACCCCATTTCCTGAGCCCCCAAACTGGGAAGCAGAGGCCAGATTCAGGGGCTCTCCACCCACTCACTGGTCAACCCACAGAGACTAATGAGTCTGTTCTCTCCGAGAAGCCTGGAGTAACTCTCCTGGGCCACCCATGTTCCTTCATGGTGGGCAGAACACCGTGGCCCAGCAAGTGACAGTGCTCTGGCATTTGTCTCCTCCACCCACTGTCCACCCCCGGGCGGGACACCCAAAGGATCCCTATATCCCACGTGGGCCAGGCTGAGGGCAACACCAGGCAGCCTGAGGAAGCTCGCCTTAGGGGTCGTGGTGAAGTGATCAGGGGCCTAGTACATACTCATTCTGGGGTGAGGCGAGGGATAGGCCATCAAATCAGAGTATGTGGCGTGGGGACCAGCAAGATACGGTCAATTTGCTAATTTTCCCAAGTGCATGTGTAGTTGAGGGATCATTCTGGTGGTTTTAATCTTCTGGGGTCAAGTCCCCTTTGAAATCCGGAGACTGAAGGACGAAATTCCATGGTCCAGTCCAACCCCTGTCTTTGGCAGAAGGGAAAACTGAGGCTCAGTAAGAGGGTCTGCTTTGCCTAAGGGCACACAGTCAGTAGCCAGGTTGGACGCCCAGCCCACTGACCCTGGTCCAGCTTCCTGCCACTCTGCAGCTGCCCTTGGGCCCTAAGGGTGCCACCAGCCTCAGGGAGGCCTGAGCACTGGTGAGGACACCGATGTACAGCTCATCCCCTAGCTTCTGACCCACCAATGGCCTGGTCTGCTCAGCCACAGCCCAGAACCCCTGATTCCCATGCTCGGTCACCAAGCGGCCCTGGTGGCAGGCCTCTTGGAGCAGGGCCCATGCAGCGTGAGGGAGAGAAGGAACGAAGACACAGCTGGGTGGCTCCAGAAACCAGAACAATGTGAAAACACAAGCCAGAGCAGGCAGGTCTGCAAAGGCCTCTGCAGCAGGAGCCGAAACGGATAGTCGTCCAGCCGAGCCCCTGACTCGGTCTCAGACACTGTCCATCCCTAGACCCCAGGGCTTGAGCCTTCTAAGAAGGCCCTGCCTCCCTCAGGCGTCCCTTCCCGACCCCACTGCCCTATGTCAAGAAGAGCGTCGCCTGACCTCTTGCCAATGGTAACAGCCACATGGGCTGTGGGGGAGGGCAGGTGCAGAGGGTGTGGCCTACAGGAGGGACCCCTCCCAGGTGGGCCTTGAGAATCAGCAGCCCCATTCTTCCAGGGCCCACAGCCTGTGCCAGCAATGCAGGGGGAGCTGTCCAGGCATCCACTGCTCACCCTGCACTTCCCGGGGGCCAGGCTGACTTGTCTCTCTGTTCCAGAGGGGGCTGGCCCATGTCCTCAAGGACACTACTGCCCTAGGGGCTCGGCTGTGCCCCAGCCTTGCCCACCTGGCACCTTCGGCTCACGCGCCAAGCTCAGTTCAGAGGTAAGGGGACCCCAGCATGGGGAGGAGGCTGGGTGTGGGGAGGGCCATGTTTGAATCTAGCCAAACAGCACTGCCCCTGAGGTCAAAGGTTGTCATGGAGATTGGAGAACACGGCCACCTGGCCAGCTGCCTCCCTTCCTCCAGGTGCTAACTCAAAAGTCACTTTCCAAGGAGGGCTTTCCCTGGCCCTCCTTAGCACGTATCACAGTCTTGTATCCCGTTTACTTGCTGCCCTTACTGATTTTCTGTATTCTCCACGGAAACAGAGGCCCTCAAAGCTGGGGAGCTATCTGCAGGCTCACTGCTCTGCAGTCAGAGTCCTGCCTGGCATGTGGCAGCCTCCTAGCACGTGTCTGCTGGACGCAAGCATAACTAGGACAAGCTAATTTTGGAAACTCGGAGGGAACAGCAAGCCCCCCATGGGGACTGCAGGGAGTGCAGCGAGGGAGCTGGGTGAGGGTGGGCCAGAGGAGGCTGGGAGGGAGCGGAGGGCCAGCTCTGCAGCACCTGTGCCCACCATGAGGCATGAGCTGCTGCCTGAGTGAGATGGAAGCCAAAGGATGGTTTGAGCTGAGGAATGACATGGGACATTACTTTCAATATACGTTAATAAATAATTTATAAACAGCCGCTATAGGATGCACAAAATTCTGTTTAAATTGCCAGGTTCCAAAAACAAATTTAATGTCTAGTTCAATTCATGAACTCCTCCAAATTATGGTTTGTACTACCCTTATCAGAGGGCCTCCTGCTGTTAGAAGGATGGTCCCCGGAACTCCTGGCTTGTCAAAGGCCCCAGGAATCCCAGTTCTCTGGAGCATGCAGTCCTCCTTGCCCGAATCGGCAGAAAGTGTTCCCCTGGAAGTGAAGCAGGAGAAGAGATTCCCCTGGTGTTACTAGTCAAACTACAAAAGAGCATGGAAGTAACAAGCAGAAGACAAAGCCAGCAGAATGACACGCTGCTGGAGCAGTCTGGAGGGACAGATCCTGGAGGGCACGCCGGCTGGAGAACGCCAGCAGAGCAGCTGGATGCCTGTCAGGGGCCTTGTAGGTGGAGGGAGGTGGGCTAGGACAAGAAGCTCTGATCTGAGGCCCCTTTCAGTCCTCCTGGTGTGGCCCCACCTTCCCCGTCCCACAGGATTCCTGCTCCCCATGCCCGCCGGGCCACTACTGCAGCTCTGCTGGCCTCGCCAGCCCTTCTGGACTCTGCAGCACAGGTTTCTTCTGCCTCAGTGGGGCGCTCGTCCCCAACGGCTCCCTGGGAGACCAGGCCGGCGGCCCCTGCCCCACAGGTACCCTGGTGGCTGGCCTGAGAGGAGCTGGGGAGGTGGGGAACGAGCAGACTCCAAGGCTGCTACCCAGACAGGGGCCGAGGGCCATCAGGAGGCTGCCAGCAGTCCCCTGGGCCCTCCAGGAACTGAGTTTAGGAGGGGGCCGCTCTGAGCACCAAAGAGTAGGACTTCTTGTGGCCCTGACCTGTGGCCCTGCTTTCCTTTCAGGACACTTCTGCCCCCCAGGCACTGCTGTCCCCAGGCCCTGCCCGGCAGGCACCCACAATGGCCTAGCTGCCCGAGGCCACTGTGAGCCTTGTCCAGAGGGGTGAGTGCAGAGAGCCCTTCCATGGCCCCACGTGTCCAGCTGGGCACACGGTTTGCATTCCTGCACAGGAGGTGGCTGGAGCAGATCTCGCTAAGATTCCTTTCTGCCTGAGTATTCTGTGACTTCAAGAAGACACAGAAGAACTCCCACAACTTCTTCTAGCTAGTTTGCTTTACGTCTCTTGATCTCTTCGTTGTGCATCACTGAGTCATTCCTAATTTCAGACCTGGGTCTCTTTTGCTTCAGTTTAAGCCAGTCAGCCTCCCCTTGAATGCCTTGAGCTGGAGCAGAGCTGTGCCCAGCCAAGCGATTGTTCCTGCGGTCTGTGGGGAGGCCAGCCCAGGAAGCCATCTCCACACACCCCAGGCCATTGGGTCACACAGCCCTCTGAGCTCCCCCCTCCTCGTCCTGTCTGTAGTTTCTTCTGCCTGGCAAATACCTCCTCTGTGGTGGGGAATGAGTGTCCAGCCGGCCATTACTGCCCTGCCTCCACCTCCTCTGCTTCTCAGTTCCCGTGCCCCAGGGGCACCTACAATCCACAGAGAGGGGGTGTCCAGCAGTCAGACTGCATCGCCTGCGAGCCAGGTAAGGGGGCAGGGACACCCCCACCCCAGACACATTAGGCCACATCCTCCCTGGCCAGCGAGGGCAAGACTCAGGCCTGGCTCAGAGGGGAACACTTTTCCTCAGCCCACAGCGCACGTTAGATCAGCCCGCGTTTACTGGCTGGGGTGCCGGGCCAGAGGGAGGGGTGAGCCTCAATCCCTCTGCCCCCAGCCCCAGGGATCCTGTCTTCCCCTCCCCCATACAGGCTCCTACTGTCTCTTGCCTGGGCTGGTGGCCGTGTCTGGGCCCTGCCATGCCGGGTTCCACTGCACTCAGGGAGCATCTGTCCCAAATCCCACGGACGGGATCACAGGAGACCTCTGTCCTCTGGGCCACTTCTGTCCCCAGGGCAGCCCCAGGCCCACTCCCTGCCCCCCAGGTGAGTCACCGATTCATGAGCCCCAGCAATGCAGGGGTCTGCTCTGCGCCCTTGAGGAGGAAAAGGAGTGGAGGCCCAGCCTGGAGAAGGGCCCAGAGGAAACCCCTACAGTGGACTTAGTGATATCCGTCCTGCCCCCATGCAGCAAGGGGCGTGGGTGGAGGGCTGAGGGCGTTTAGAGCTATGGCCAGGCCCCCGGGGGAAGCTTGACCAGGGAGGGGTGGAGGGCAGAGGCACAGTGGGAAGGGAATGATGCCTGGCAGTGGAAATGGGGCATGGGATGTCATGTGTCAGCTGAGCCCGGCTCTGGCTCCCCAGGTAGAAGGTGGGCTCGGGAGGCAGGGGGCCTTGCAGTCGCTGGGCCCTGAGCCTGAGCAGGCAGAGCAGGATCATGGCTCTGCCCTCTGAGACAGGCCACTGCGGGGCTTCAGCTGGGAGGCCTCCTGGCGGTGGCCACAATGTGTGGACATACAGGCTCTCTCCTGCCCGTCCCCGGGGCCACATCGCTGGAGGACTGCCAGCCATGCCCGGCTGGCTGGTTCTGCTCCCAGGCTGGCCTGAGCTCCCCGGAGGCCCCGTGTGAAGAAGGCTGGTTCTGCCCCAGGGCTTCTGTCTCCAGGCACGGTCCAGGTGAGGGCAGACCCTCCTCACCTTGTGGGAGGGGTGGGTGCTGTGGGACCTGCAGGGGTCCAGCCTGGAAGGGAAACCCAGGCCGTGGGCTCTCCCTCTGCCCTCAGGCTCCCGTGCCTAACAGCAGTGAGACGAGCCTCGTGACCTGGGGCCTGCTGAGGAGGGGCCGCAAGCCTGTGCGTTAGCAAGGCTCCCCGTGCACCCAAAGCTCAGACAGGGAGAGGAGAGAGGCTCAGGATGAGAGGAAGGGAAGAAACGAGAAGCATTGAAACAAAAGCAATCATCAAAGATGGTGAATCCTGTGCTCTGGGGGAAGGAATACAGGTTCCCCAAGACCCTCTTGTGAAGGAGCAGGAAGGGTCTTCACCCCTCATGTGAGACCCCGGGCCTGGCAGAAAAGTGAGAGGTCAGACCCAAGGACAAGGTCCTAGCAGAGCCGGTACAATTCCATCTTCTGCGGCCTCAGTCCTCAACAGGTTGGTTGTAATCAGTTTTGAGAATTTGTAAGTAATTATAATAAAGTGTCAGGGACCACTGGGCACTGGGAAAGGCTGCCCTGAGGGGACTCTCCCTCTGATACTGTGGCTCTCGAGAGGGTCCCCCTACCTCCCTGCCTGGAAGCTCTGGTCTCAGCGTGGAACAGCCCCAACCTTAGAACACAGTTGATCTAGGACAGCAACTCCAAAAAAATTCATTAGAAGTATTTCAGGAAATAAAGTTGGTATATAAAAGCATAGAAACTGTTCCATTCCCCAGAATATGGACACAAAGTACAGGTTTCTGACGCTGCCCCGTCCCTTCCCAGGGTCCACCTCCTAAATACGCTCCACTGCCACCCAGCTTCTTGTGCCTTCGTCAGCCGCGGGCCCTGGGAAGCCGGGTCCGTGAGCCAGGACAGGCTCCCTCCCGCTGGCCAGTCCAGTGCTCCATGTGATGAAGAGCACAGGGGGCCCCCGGGCTAGTGCACACAGCATTTCCCAAACTTACCTGCCCAAAGAAGCTGTGGTTTGAGGAACATCTCGTAGGATGAGGACCCCTAGGAACACCTTTGGTGACAGATGTTCTGGCCTGGAAGCCCAGGGCTGCCTCGTGTACGCGGTGAGGCTCCCAGCTCTGACCCCAGCCTATGGAGCGCACAGCCCCAGCACCCTCTCGGCCCAGTCACTACGGACCTGGCCCCTTCCCATCCAGGCCATGAGGTTCCCATGCCACCCTCCTACACAGGGCCGGTTGTCAGCTGGAGCTGTCTCCCCTCCCGGTGCCCGCAGGACCAAGGTGTCAGGAACCAGGCCTGGGAGTGTCATGCATCATGGGCACCACAAATCACACACCCACCCGCTCAGTGCCTACGTGGAGGGAGTAAGAAGTGGTTGTTCTGGGCTCTGGCTGGAAGGACATGGGGAATCTTCCAAGAGGAAATACCTGTCTCCCTTGGCTTTTCTAGGCACGCTCTGCCCTATTGGGCACTCCTGTCCCCCAGGCAGCCCGGAGCCCCAGCTCTGCCCCCCAGGGCAGTATCAGGATGAACCTGGACAGAGTGTCTGCAAGACGTGCCCCGCTGGAAAGTGAGGACCTGTCGCTGGCGGGGGCCTCCTCTTCTCTCAGGGTGACGCTGGCCTTTCCTGCTCTCCCTGCAGCCGGGGCTCAGATATGCTGCAGGGACCAGCGGCCACGGCCCCATCACCCGAGAGAGCCCCTTGTAATAAGCACCCCACTGTCCATACAGGGGCCTTAGGGGGCTGTAGCCTTCGTGCAAAAGTGTCAATGAGACAGGAGGCCATTGTCCACCTTAACGTTCACTTCCTCTGACCTCAGATGGCCCTGTGGGGTTTTGCTTCTGCTCAAATCCTCCAGGTCCCCAGAGCTTCCTTCCTCTGGAGGAGCCTCACTTCTTAGAAAGCCTGAGGATATGGGAGGCGTCGACTCCTTCACTCCTGACCACCGACTGGTTGTGTCCACAGGTTCTGTCCCTTCAGGATCCAGGGACCAGGAGCCAGGACTGTTTGGCCAGTGGACTGTCCTGCTGGCTACTACTGTCCTCTGGGTACCCAGACACCCACCCAGCACCCGTGCCCCAGGGGCACCTTCCGAGAGAGGCCCGGGGCACGCAGCACCAAGGATTGTAGGCCCTGTCCCGCAGGGCAATTCTGCTCAGATTCAGGTGACAAGAGCCATCTCTCTGGGACTTTGCAGGGTCCCTGATTGAACCCCTTGTCCCAGAGATACTTAGCCTGCCTGCAGGTGGACACCCTGGGTTCCCTTGCATCCCGTAAGACCTACAGCCCCACATAGGGAGCACTGCTTGAGCCTGGGCCTGGGGATGGGAGGAGGAGGCAAAGGTGACCTGCCCTGATCCCCGAGAGGTCACAGTGGGGAAGGGAAGGATAGGGACAGATGAGCGCATGAATGCCCCCACCCAGGCACATGCTGGTCTCCTCAGACAGGTGCTCTGAGTGTCCTGGGGAGGGCATGTTGACCCCCGGGCAGAGGGTGTGTGGAGCACGGCACCAGGCTTTGAAGGTGATGCTAGACTTTGGCAGTGGGCTGAGAGCAGGCGGGTGCAGCCTTGTTCAGGAAGCAGGCCTCCGCCCAGAGCAGCTGGGGCAGGACCTCAGGGAGATCCCACCATGACTGAGCCCAAGGCTGAGTGAGTGGACGTAGCAGTAACCGCAGTGGTGAGAGTGTGGTGTGCATTTGTCCATTTTAGTTGTCTACTCCATTTATACGTAAGTCACCTAGAACAAGACACAGCTGGGCAGTAAGCAGACCGCTGCCAGATGCTGGGAAGCAGAGGAAGGGAGATGTGAGCTCCCTCAAATGGTCCTCAGGCCCCCAGGGGTCCCAAGTGTGTCTCCCCAGAGTAAGGCTGGGGATGTGAGGCATCGGCCCATCACCTGCAGCCAGGGCGGCAGAGCCCTGCACACCCTCAATACCACAGCTGGGCCTGTATTTCTAGGATCCTAAGGCAGCACTCTTGCACCCTGGCTCTGCTTGACCCCATTGGATGTGACCAAACAAGCCTTTTAACTCATTTATCCTCGCAACCAGGCTGCTATTTTACAGATGAAAAGCCTGAGTTCAGAGAGGTCCTCTGCACAGCTGCATAGGTAGTGAGCAGCAGAGCCAGGAGAGGACGCACAATTTGGCTCCAAAGACTTGAGCTCCTTGGCACACTGCAGCTCCAAGCTCAGGAGCAGCTCAAGACACTCTTCCAGGTCCCTTTTCTCCTTTTCCTTCTAATCTGAAACCAGGCCCGCTGTGGTGAACTGAGCCTGTCTCCATCCCATCTCCACAGGGGCTGGGAAACGCTTCCCGGACGGGCCATGCTCAGCAGGTTATTACTGTCCCCCTGGCCAGACCTCAGCCACCCCTATATCTTTCCGGTGCCCCCGTGGCTTCTACTGTTCCGAGGGATCTCCCCAGCCAAGGGCCTGTGAGAACGGAACATTCCAGCCCCAGGAAGCAAAGGACTCCTGTGAGCCCTGCCCCGCAGGATTCTACTGTGACGCCTCTGGCAAAGGTGGGCTCACTGGGGCTGAACTGAAGGCCCCCACAGGGTGCTGGGTGCCCGGCAAGGTGCCAGCGGTGGGAGCACCTAGCTCTCCATGAGCCCCTGCAGAAGTGACGCCTCCTCGCTGACCGGGAGGTCCCCTGCCTTGTTAGAGAGAGGGAGGGACAAACCTGAGGTGGCACAGTGCATCTGCTCAGGGCCACACGAGACCCCTGGGGTCCTTCCCTTTAGTTTTGGCTTTAGAATGTATCTCGGGAATTCTTCTGCCAGAAGCTTGGTTGTCATAGTCATACAGGTCAGCGCTATGAACCACAGGCAGCCCTTGTGGCTAACAGCAGAGCAGAGGGAGGTGGGCCCTGAAACAGGCCAGGTATGAGGGAAGGGCATGTCAGGGACTTAAACCAGGACAGCGCATTGCATGATGACCCATCAGGACACCCTGTGTCCAGCCTGGTTCTGGGCACAGTAGGCACAAGGTGCAGGACAGGACAGTCTGAGATCTAGGACCCTAGAATCTAGTTGGCTGTGGCCTGACTCAGTTTCCCCAAGGTACATGCTGCACACGTAAGCTTGCAGATAGCCTTGGCCATCTCTAAACACAAGTGGCTGCTGGCTTGGCAGTGGGGTCTGCAGGCCCCTAAGCGGACTGAGGGGTGTGGCCCCCATGTGACCAGTGTGGGCGAGCGCAGTATCCTGCAGGGAGGGAGGCTTATGCTCAGCATCCGGGCCCTGAGGCTGGAGGTCTCAGGGGCCCACAGAGGTCTCCTGGGCAATGCACCTTCCGAGGCAATGGCAGACCATCAGCCTTTGAGGGAAGAATAACGCACCTTGACTGTGGGGCTGGGCTAGGGCAGGTTCAGAGCCCGGGGTGTCCTGAGTCTCCGACAGTGGGGCTCCCACCACAAGCTAGAGCTGACCCTGCCATTGCCCCCTAGGACCCAGCCTGTGCCTCCGGGGCTACTTCTGTCCCCCAGGCTCCCACTCAGCCACTGCCCACCCATGCCCTCGGGGGACATTCGGGCCCAGGCAAGGGGCCACTGCAGAGCGGGACTGTGAGCTGTGCCCAGCAGGTTTGTGGACTCTGGACCCTGGGCCCTCAGGGAGCCTAGGCTGAAAGGCTGGGGAGAGAACGAGGAAAAGCAGAAGGAGGGCAAGGAAACAAGTCATGAGGGAGCATGTGCCCTGGGCCCTGGACCCACATTGTCAGGGCAGCACCTCATGTCCAGCAACTGGGACAAGGAAAGCAAAGTCAGGTCCAGACATGGGCCAGGGTCCCATCAACCTCCTAGCGGGCCCATAGCCCCTACTGTCTGGATTTTAGGGCCTCCTCATGCCCTGTTGCTCAGCTCACCCCCCATGCACCTCTAGGGCTCAGGACAAGACCATCTCACACTCTCCTCAGAGACCAGGTGTTGCTGGAGAGAAAGGACTGGCCTGGTCAAGGCAGCTCCATGTCTCTCTAGCCCATTCCTCCCCTCATTCCCCCAGGCATCTGGTTGTCACACCAGCACATTGTGCTAGTCTGAGAGCCTGGGGAGGGAGGGAAGGGAGGAGAAGTGGGGGGAGGGAGGGAGGTGAAGGTGGGGCGTAGCCCAAGAGAGGCAGGGCTGGTGCCAGAGCAGGAGGGAAGTGGGAGGGGTGGCTCTGCTGACATTTGGGTCTGCTTCTTCTAGGGATGTTCTGCTCATCAGAAGGGCTGTCCCAGCCATCAGGGCTCTGCCACTCTGCCCACTACTGCACAGGGGGAGCAGTGTCTCCCACCCCCATCAAACACAAGGTACAGATCACTGGGCCGGGCACCCTAGACAGGAGTCTGAGTCTGCCCTGCAGCACCCATGTGTGTACTGGCTCAGGACAAAGCTGCCCAGGGGTTCCTGCTGGGTTCCCGCTAGGGTTGAAGCTCCCTGAGGGCAGGGGTCTCCTCACCTTCGTGTTCCCAAGGCCTGGCACAGGGCCTGGTGATATCTTATTTCAATGATTCTGAGATGTGCATCTTTTTCACATTTAACATCACTAAAGTCAGCAGCATCTTATAATCCATGGCATTTGACAATCAATGGCAGTGATTTTTTTCTTTTAAATCATTCAGCTTCCAGCAGATGACATCTTGGGTTAGATGACATGCATGTGGCAATAATAGCAGAAAACACATACAGAGCCTTGACTACTGCTGGGCAGCATTCTGTGCTGCATACACATTGATTCAGCAGTCCCCACACAGCCCTGTGGGAGGCCCCGGAGCCACCCCGTTTTAGACGTGAAGAAACTGAGGAGCACGTGTGGTGATGGACTTTCTCAAGGCCACACGGCGAGAAAGCGACTGTCAGCACATTGGATGATTATACCCTAGAGCAGTGCAAGGGAGAGTTGGCTGGGTGGATAGACACACGGACCAGTGCTGGACAGACAGATCGACAGATGGGCATTGGTGTTTTAGTTGACTGACTCTGATTCTCGTTGTTACTGAGTTGCCGTGTGAACTTGAACATACATGCCCCTTGCCCTCTCTGGGCCCTGGCTTCCCTTTTAGAACAGACACTGCCCCTTCTTCTGGAAGTCACCGGTTCTACATCAATGCCACACAGAAGAGAATAGGCCTGGAGACAAGGAAGGGAGGGGCGGGAGGCCAGAGTCAGCGCTCTGATTTAGAAAGTAGGGACCCCTCCCAAGCCTTCTCCTTGCTCATCCTCCTCAGGTCTCAGCTGGCACAGCTAAAAGCGCATGTGAATGGGGTGGTTCTGCATGGGACATTCTTGTGTGCAGTGCAGCCTCATTCAGGACAGTCCTGGTCCCTAGCTTCTCCCCAGCAGCGGCGTTGGTAGCCTGGGACCACAGCTCTGATTTGAAGTCCTTTTTTCCTTCTTTCTGGCTACACAGGTGGAGGTCCCAGGACTTTCTGGAAATGACATCTGCCCCCCTGGCTTCTTCTGCCCCAGGGGAACAGGCTCCCCAGTGCCATGCCTGCCTGGGTTTTACTCCTCTGCCCCCGGCCTGGCCAGCGAGGACCAGTGCCAGCCGTGCCCCCGGGGGCACTACTGCAGCCGTCCTGGGCCGTCCCACTTCCTGGAGGCACAGCCCTGCCATGCAGGGTGAGGGGCCCTGGCCCGGCACTCCTGGGGAGCAGTGGCCTGAGGAGGGAGGAGGGTCCCTAGCTCAGGCCTGCCAGGGCCCACAAGTAGCAAACTAATCCTAAATCCCCATAGGTTCTTCCTAGCCCCTCTGAGGAGCACAGGCCAGGGTGACTCTCTCCCCCAGGCAGGTGGGCCTCCGACGAGCCATCCCTTAGATGCATCCTCCCGGGCCCTCTCAGCACCGGCCTTCTGAGGTCCAAGGAGCTCTGGGTGTCCCACTCGGCCCCTGGGCAGCCTCCACACCCTCTGTGGCCCTGACCAGGCCTTGGCCTTTATCCCATTGGCCAATATCCTCTGCCAACAGGTGTCTGAGATTCCTGACAGGTGCATTTTCCTCTCATGGTCAAAAGGACTAGGGACGACTGGCCATGGCCACCAGGAAGTTTGGCCAGGTCCTGTGTGAAGGAAGACTTGCCCCATGCGCTCAGGGGCCCTGAAGACAGAGAAAGTTTGGAGAGGGGCCCGTACCTGTTCTGGGAAATGTCAGGCCCTTCCCAGAACTGATTCCCTGAGCCCCTGCTACTTAGTTTCCTATCAAGGGGCCAGAGCATGTGTTAGCCCTGAGGACCAGAGGACTACTTTTCCCCCAGGGATCGTCCGTGGCTGTGGCCACACTGGCCTTACCCTCAGCACAACTCTGACGACCACGGTCCCAAAGGCTACCCTTTCTCTTGCCTTCTTCCGCCTGGCCAGGACCCCATGGTCGTGCTAGAGGAGGTTCAGCCACGGTTCTCCATTTCCTCAGATACATCTGCCTGACAGGCAGTGCTGTCCCCTCACCCTCCGATGGAACCCATGGATACAGATGTCCCCCTGGCTTCCGCTGTCCCCCAGGGGCCCACAGCGAGCTGCCCTGTGAGCCTGGCACCTTCAGCCCCTTACCTGGGGCTGACACCTGCCTGACCTGCCCAGGGGGCACCTACTGCCAAAAGGCTGCCACCGTAGAACCCACCACCTGCCCCAAAGGTAATGAATGCCCTCAGACTGGCTTCTGCCCTGGCTCTCTGGGGCAGAGGGACATTGGGCATGACCACAGTGGACAGTGCAACTCAGGGGTCAATGTAAATGGGACCCCTCCCAGCTCCTCGGCTCTGTCTCAGAACTCCATGCTTGATGGTGAGATCTCGGCCCTCTCTGGCAGCCAGCAGCTGCCTATAAAGGGGGCTGATCATGCTGCATGGGGAGGACACGAGGTGAAGGTTGTCAGGGACCCACACTCCCCAGGTGCCAGCACCTGCCAGCACTCTCCTTCACACGGCCTGTGACTGGGCAGCATCTGGCTGGTCCCCAGCCTGCGGCTGTCCAGTGGGTGAAGGAAGGGGATGCCAGATGATGTCTGAGCAGCCTTGCACGTCCACACCTTCCTGCTCACCGCAGGTTCGCGGTGGGTGCCCAGGAGGTGAGCAGACACGAATTGTGGAGGGAAGGGCACAGGCCTGGGAGGCAGGACCTTTGGTCAGTCCTGCCCTGATCCTAAGATGCTGCTGCCCTTGGGCAGCCACCACCTGTCTACACAGTGAGGACAGGGGGCCTGCGAGAACCCCCCAGGGGCTGACCCCCTCTCAGGAAACACCCCAGACACTGCAGTATGTCTGGTATGAGACTGTCAGCACCTGGTGGCCAGGCTGCCTGTCAGGTGCTCCTGGGGCGGCCACTTCTCCAGAAGAAACCCTGGAGGTTACAGAGGAGCACATGACCTCACTGTCTCCAGGACAAGAAATGCCCTTTCCCTCAGCACTGCAGAGCCAGACACACCTCTCACTTACCGATCCCTGAATAATGACCCCGGAGCCCTCAGTGCTGAGGTCCCTGGCGCATGCGCACACAGGTACACACACATCCATGCACACACACTCGCACATGTGCACACACAGGCACACCTTAGCTGCACGGACAGACCTCCATCAGAGCCCCCACCCCACTGGCCTGAATTCTATACCCTCTTCCCAACACCTGGCCCAGCGTCCCCTCCCACGCCCCCTGGTATGCTCTCTGCACCCCTTGGGGCTGCCCTCACTTCTCTGCCATAAATGATGGGAGGTTGTGGGGCATAGGGAACAGCTGTGGGGCCCGGACACTCAGTGCTCACTCACTCGGGCCTTCCCCGCAGGTTACTACTGCCCGGCGGGGACGCCCTCCGCTCTTCCCTGCCCAGAGGGAACCCTGAACCCGCGAGAAGGCGCTGTCTCCCCCAGGGCCTGCCAGCCCTGCCTTGCAGGGAGGTATTGCCCTGGGGAGGGCAACGGGAAGCCTGAGGGTAGGTACGAGCACCCAGCACAGCTGGGTCCTGGCCCCCTGCATGGCTCCCCTAGGGCTCTCCCCCACAGGGCCACAGCATAGGTCTGGGTCTGGCTGCCCGCCTCAGTGTGGCCTCCTGCCACCTCCTCCCTTGAGCCCTGCTCCTCCTTCCCTCCCTCCACTAAGAGGCCCCAGCCTCGGGCCAACAGCAGCCTCAGTCGCCACCACCGGGATTCTCATCCCCACTCTGCACTTGATGCAGGTATGACCCTGGACAAGTCACTTAACCTGTCTGGCCTCAGTCTCCTCCCCTGTACAATGGGAACTATAACAGTACCCCCCGACACACACACACACACCCACACACACTCACACACACAGCTGCTCTGGGGAGTGCAGTCCTTACAGATCAGGAGTTCAGAACAGCGCCTGGTGCACAGTAAGCGCCCACAGCTGTGACTTCCTGTTGTCACCCTCACCCTAGATTCTATGTGGAAGCCCCAGCTCAAGGCAAGGACTGCACGGCTGCTCAGTAATTCCTTGTTTCCCTGACTTTTTCCTTCATCCTACTTGAATTTCCACAATTCCCCCAGGTTAGGGATGGCAAGCAGGGCCCCGGGGAGGGCACAGTCTGGGCCTACTCTAGTGCACGCAGGGTTTGAGCACGAGCTGGCGCATTTCTGTTGCTGCCTAAAGGGCCGTGTCTTCCTGTATCCAAGGCCCCTGCTCGGCTGGTTACTACTGTGAGGGGGGCGCTGCCAGCCCCACTCCCTGGAGAGACTCTGCCTTCCCCCTCAACGGACCCTGCCCCCACGGCCACTACTGCCCACAGGGGACTCTCCACCCCGTGCCCTGCCCCGTGGGGACAACGAGGAGCACCCCAGGTGAGCACCTGCCCTGTGTCTCCCCCGCCCCTCACGGCTGCGGGCCCCTCCTCCTTCCCCTGTGGAGTGGATACAAACAGCACAATAGGAGCAGGGGTGGTCAGGGTCTCTGGTGCTCCCACTGGGGTGGACAGGAAGCCGGGCGATAGGCTTGTGCCATGGTGTGGATGTGAGGGCTTCCCACACGCAGAACAGGGCCCACTCCTCCACCCCATAGGCTGGGCTCTGCCCGCAAAACGCAGGCTGTGCCCTTGGCCAACGCATGGCAGACGGGCCCTGCAGGAGGCCGTGGCCAGCGGCTGCTTCATTCAACACACATTCTGCCGGGCTGCACACTAGCACCGAGGTACAGCAGCGAGACAAGCAGTGAAAGGCCCCTGTCCTCAGAGGTTGATATTCCAATATGGGGACACAGAGCCCATGCACTTTGATCCCCCCTATCCAGGTGGCATCTCTGAGGGGAGCTGCAGGCCCTGCCCAGCTGGCTTCTTCTGCCCCAGCCTGGGTCTCAGCTCTCTTACCGGTTCCTGTGTGACCCTCTCCAAATGCCCCTCGGACCCCAGGGCCTCCAGCCCCACAGCTCTCCCTTGTCCTCAGGTACGTCCCTGGGAGCTGTGGGAGGGACCTCAGTCCCCAAGAAGCCAGGGACCCCCGCCCAGAGCTCAGTCTGGAGCCCTCCAACTGTGGGCCTCAGGCCAGCTCTCAGTGCCTCACAGGAGGGCCCTCAATACTCCCATCTCCCAGGCTCCTTCTTTCCCCAACTGCCCCACCCAGCCTCCTGGCCTCCTGCACTCCAGTCACCACGGCCTGAACAAGCCAGAAGGCAGGACCACACACGGACCGTCCTAAGCCCTGAGCTCCCCAATCACACCCAGCCTGGTTCTCAGAGATGTCACTTTGTGTCCAATGCCCAGGGTCACTTTTGCCAACCAGGGGCTGCTCGGCCTGCCCCATGCCACCGAGGGGAGTACCAGCCCTCCCTGGGCTCAGACACCTGCCTCCTGTGTCCACCTGGTTTTTACTGCCCGCACGCCGGCACTGGAGTGCCCAGGCTTTGCCCAGCACATGCCTACTGCCCAGCCGGTATGCCCAGGATCCTCAATCCCCCATGCCTCCCGGGCCCTCTGCTTTCTCCCCAACACCCCCATCTCCCTCTCATTCATTCCTTCATTCCTTCATTCAAAATCCACGGAGTGCCTACTGTGTGCCGGGCGCTATGCTGGCATGAGGACCACCAACGGCGAAGAGCACACTCACAGCCTTCATCCTCCACTCGCCTCTACCACCCCAACCCCTGCTGCTTCTCTTCTCTTCGTCTGTTGACTGGCCCGTGCTCCATGCCCTGCCTCTCCCCTCCACTCCACCTGGGGGCCCAGGGCGAGTACCTGGACCAGAGAGGACAGCAAACAGGAGTCATCGCCTATGCCAACAGTTTGGGCCATGATCGGGGAGTGCCTCCTGAGCACAGCGGGGAGAAGGCTGTGCCTTGAGGCTGGAGCTGCGGAAACGGAGCCCCGCAGGCCAACAGTGGTGCCGCGGCCACTGCACGTCTCGGCCTCAAGCTGAGTCCAGACCCCCTGAACACACTGTGCATGAGCCCACACTCACACACACACAAACCCACATGGGCATATGCAGATACATACACACAGGCACACACCCTCAGCGCACGCACAGACTCACATGCACACACACATATGCTGTCCCCAGGCAGCCCAGCAAACAAATAGGTGTCCACAGAAGTTCATGATCTTTGTCACATCTTAGGTAAATCTGAGGGGAAATCTGGCCAATTTCAGGAGTTCTGAGTGCATTAGCTTTGCAAGTGTTTGATCCACATGTGACCATACATTTGTCTTTACCGTGACTATGATGTGAAAGGTTTATGTGCCCCTTAAATGAGTGACCTCTTAGCCAGAACATTTACAACATTCCAAGTGCAAAGAGCCTGGCCTGTTGTCCCCATGGTTACGTGTTGTACTAGTTGCACACACACAGGAGGACGGCACCTCTGCGGGGAAGCGCCGTGCTCCTGCACCCCCAGCCCACCGCCCAGACCCTCAGCCCACCCTTGCTGAGGGGCTGACTCTCTTACTCTCTGCCTCCTCTGACTAAACTCCCATCTTTCAGCTTCCTACTCCCATTCCTGGTCAGAATTTTTTTTCAGTAGATCCAGCTGCTCCCTTTAAACCTTTTCCCCTGTTGGAGGATTTCTTCTCCTATTTCCCATTCAAGGTGTGTGCACTGTGTGCCCCTGGCACCTAGCAGCACAGCCCATGAGCTCAAGGAAGTGCTGAGGTCCCCAAAGCCAGAGGACGGGGTTGGGTGGAGGACAAGGGGACCACACAGGCACACCCAGGCAGGGCAGCCGGCGCAGGGGGCCAGGGGGCTCCCACGTGAGACGTGCTTGGTGTGGACCAACATGGTTCCAACTTAGTGCCAGAGAGCCCGCAGTGTCTGGCACCCAATAAGCACCTCACTGGCCAGATGAATGGCCTTTGCCCCATATAGCTTCCCTGCTATCTGGAAATCCTCCAGGAGGGAGCTACTCTGCTGTAAAGGGACAGTAATCCTAGGGAGAAAGACTGAAGCCACTACCATTTCATCACTTCATCGGCTCTGAGAAAGCATCACAAAACTCTGCACCATCAGGGGTAGCAGGATGCTGATGGGTGGGGAGCCCAGCACAGAAACCCGTTCTGCATCAGTCCAGGTATAGTGGAGGCGGGTCCACAGGCACTGGTCAGTCACTCATCTTCACTAACTGCTCCCATACTCCAGGAACGTGGTCCCCTCGTCTGTGTCCCCCAGGAACCTTCACTCCCCAGGATGCATCAGGCCTCCAGGAAGAGGGTGACTGCTCCGTCTGTCCCCCCGGTCACTACTGCAGGTTAGTAACAGCCCAGTCATTCACCTCCTGCCGCTGCCATCAAAGTGCACCCTGCGGGTGATGAGGCCCCACGGACCCCCTGGCCTGTCCCAAGGCCCCGCACCATGTTGGGGGAGCGAAGGTGTGAGGGGCCGCCTGTCAGACCACAGCCCCACCCAGCGGCACAGGCCTGAAGAGGGAGGGAAAAGCCTGACAATTAGGTGAAGAGAGCCAGGACAGTCAGCACAGACTTAGATCTAAAAATAAATAAACAAGGTACATTCAAACAGAGAGAGCATCAGTCTGACGTGACAAAAACTCTGCTCAGTCCCCACCTAAAAATGCAGGGAAGTTCCTTAGAGGCAAGATCCTCTGTGCCTCTGGGCAATCCCCAAGGTCCATACACACTTGGGGGAGATGGACAACCCTCCCTTCTCCCTCTCTTCCTGAACTTTCCACAGTACGAATAGCTTTCGTAAACGGTTGGGCTGCAAAGACAATAAATGGTACCTATAAGCAGAATGATCAGAGAACAGGTCTCGGAGCGCCCAGATTCCACTCGGGTGTATGAGACACGTGCTTTGTGCCCCGCTTCCGCTTCTGTGCTATTGGGACATGCTCACTGGAGCAACAGAAGTCACCGGAAGAATGTTGTATTTGGGATTCAGAGACTCAGAGCCTCCTCTGAGAACTTAGGGGCAGGCCCTGGGCCCGACTCCCCCGGAGTAGCCAGACCAAATGAAAGCACGCTGCGGTCTGTGGTCCAGGGACAGCTCCCAGGATGTGCTGAAGGCGCACACCTACGATTTCCTGAGACGGGGAATGGGGGTCAAAGATAGGTCGCTCTGTATTTCACACAGAGGTAAAACTGCTTCAGAGCAGATCCTTTTCTACCCGAAAAGTGACAGCAGAGGTTCCTCAGACGCTCCCTCTGGAGGTTCGTCTCCCTGTGCTCAGGAAGTCCATCCTTAGGTCTAGCCTACTTTCTCCTGCTGCGGAGATGGAGATCAGACTGGGCTCTCGGAGCCCAGGCCCAGGGACCTGGCAGGACCAGCAAGTGCAGGCATCCACTGGAGGCCGTGCAGGAAGCTGGTGGAAGACCTGCCAAGCCATCCTTCCCCATTCCCACAGTGAGAGCAGCGGGACGGCCCGGTGCCCCCCACCCCCCCGCCTTCTCCAGGAGGGGCTTGTCCTGCTGTTGGCAGCCCTGAGTCCTACTCTTTATCCACTGAGCTCCACAAACTCAGCGGAGGAAAGACACCCAGGAACCCAGCTCTTCCTGGAGAATGCAGGCCGGGGCTTCAGCGCTGCACTGGCCCCAGGACCCCTGGGTCTGAGCCTCACACCCGCCTGCTTTATTGCTAGGTGAAGTGTCACATCCTGCTTTGATCGTGTACGTGGATATATTCATGTGCTCCCCCGGGGCAGAGGTCACACTGTGGGTCACAAGGAGACTCTGAACACAGGGCCTGGTGCCCCTCTGGTGCTGGGGCCCTGGGCTCAGAGGAGCCGTCCATCAGGTCTTCTCACTCTTCTCCCCTCTCTCTGGCTGCTAGAGGTGGACAGGTGTGGGGAAAATGTCCTGCTGGTTATTTCTGCCCACCTGGGACCTCTGAACTGACGACACCAGGTCCCAAGGAGTCCCAGACACTTTGTCTCCAGGGACAGCTGTGTGCCCAGCAGTGCCCACCAGGTAACAGCCCATTCCTCATCCTTGGGGTGTAAAAGAGGCGGAGACCAAGGCTGCCCAGCTGTCACCACAGGACCTACCCTGGCAAAGGAAGTTTTTTGGTCAAAAGCAGACTCTAAAAATAGTTGACCCCCAGTATTGTGAGTCTAATACGTATGTGCGTATACACGTGTGTAATTACATACGTCATATGTATGTAAAATGCAGTGTGAATATGCACCTGATGCAGTTCAGATGGTTACTGATTTGACCAATGCAACAGCAAGTGGAGTCAGGACTGGCCTCCAGGCCTCTCAACTCCTGGGCCCGTAGAATCCCCCAGGCCACCCCTGGACACGTGCTCCCCACAGTCCTGGTGCAGTCCCCCACCTGCCATGGTGGAGCAGCCTCCCTGCTTTCCACAGGACCCAACTCAACCCCATGTGCTTCAGGTTTTTACTGCCCAGAGGGCAGTGGAGGACCCACCCTGTGCCCGCTTAACACCGTGACAGCTGCCCCCGGAGCCAAGCAGCAAGAGGACTGTAGGCCTTGCCCCCCGGGGCGCTGGTGCAAAGCCGGTGAGGCACCCGTGCCACAGCCTGGAGTGCGCTGGTCCTGCCAAGGGCACGGGGAGGCCCTTTGGGCAGGAGGGGGAGGATGGAAAGTGAGCACAGCCCTTGCTCTCCAGGAGACCCGGCCACCCACCCCTGCCCTGCAGGCCACTACTGCCCTGGAGGGAGTGAGACCCACCCAGGAACCCCCCAGGCCTGCCCTGAGCACACATACCTGGCAGCAGAAGGAGGCCAGAGTCAGGCAGAATGCCTCCCCTGCCCTGCCGGGTACCACTGCTCATCCCCAGGTGAGAGGCTCTCTCCAGGCCAGATGCAGAGCCCTCTAGGAAGGAGAGATGGGAGGTCACTGGGAGGCGCTGTGGGGCATCCCTTCTTTGCCTGCTGCTTTTGCCCCCAGGTCTCTCTTCCTTCGAAGGCCATCCCTGTCCTCCAGGCCACTGGTGTCCAGGTGATCAGGGTGCCTTTCTCTGCCCACCTGGAACCTTTCGGACAGAGCCAGGGGCATCATTATGGGAAGACTGTGAGCTCTGTCCCCCTGGCTACTACTGCCCCGAGGCTCAGCTGAGGGGCCAGGCAACCGTGTTTCCAATCGCCTGCAGAGCTGGATCTGAATGTCCTGCAGGTGAGACTGCTGGCCCTCCCCTTGCTTCCCAGCCCCCGCCCACGCCCCTGAAGCTTAAGCCAGGTCTCACATAGGAGGCCCTTATCAAGCAGAGCACATCACCTGCTTGCCTTAGCAAGTCTCTGCTTGCTGCTTGCTTGGTTGGGTCTGTGCCACCTAGATCTCCCCAAGACCAAGGTGTCTTGGTCTGTTCCTGTCTCCCTAAGGTGCTGTGGCTGAGGTCTCATGCAGGGCTGGCTCCTACTGTGGGCCCCAGACTGGAGTCCCCCCTCTCTGTCCTGGGGGCTATGCCTGCCCTGCCGGCTCCTCCACCTACTCTGGCCCCGGGCAGCTGTGAGTACCCTCCCCTGTCTGTGTGAGTCTGAGGCTCCCTCCATGTCTCAGCCTCTGGGCTCTCCAGATAGCAGTCAACTCCCTCAGCCTCCACAGGACGCAGGCCAAACAGCAGGGCCCAGAGACAAGTACTGATAACCCTTTGCAGGCGCTTCCCAGCAGGGCTTTTCCATGCAGCAGCCCCTGCCTCTGCCCCGGGCAAGGGAGGGTAAGGAAGCGGATTGCGCTGAGATGCCCTTCATAAGTTTCCAGGGCCGTCCTGTGTGAGGTGGCCAGATCTGGCAAATAGAAACACAGGAAACCCAGTTACATTGAAATTTCAGGTAAACAACAAATCAATGTGCAGTATGAGTATGACTTATACAATATCTGGGATGTATTTATGCTCATTGTTTACCCATTGTTCATTACTCATTGTTGATCTGAAATTCGAATATGACTGGGCATCACACATGTCATCTGGCAACCCCAATCCTCTGTCCAGGACTGACTCTCCCAGCACTCCTGACTGTGACCCCAAGCCAGTCAGGCCCCTTCCACACACACAGGGATTTCTCCAGGGTGAAGTAGGCAGGGAGCACAGGCCTGGACACTGCCCAATGGCCTGGCCACCTGGGCATGGCTCAGCTTCCTCTGAGAAGGCAGCTTGACCTGCTTAGGCTCCATCAGATGCAAAGCCACCCCAGGGCCCCCTGTCTGGGCTAATATCAGGGTATCCCTTTCCCCTGCCAGCTTAAGACCCAGATTGGAGAATGTTGGCCCTGCTAGTGAGATGAGAACAATAGCACACACGGACCCCATCAGCATGAAGCTGAGGTCTGGGGGGTCCATGTCTCTGTGCAGTTGCGAGTTTCCCTATTACTGCCCACCGGGCAGCACCCATCCACTTGCATGCCCTGGGGGCTCCGAGGCCCTGAATAGGAGCGGCCTCAGGATCTCCAAGGAGTCTTGCTGCCACCTCTGTGAGGCTGGCACCTACCGCAACCGGGCCCTGGACGCCCTGCCCTGCCAGCCCTGCCCAGCCGGATTCAGCTGCCACCAGGGTGAGTTCGGAAACCTGGGTAACAGCAAGACAGGGGGGCCCAGGCCTCAAGTCAGAAGTGGGCATAGCCCAGTGAGGAGGATGGAGGTGGCAGATAGGGGGTACCCCACGGGCCCTGGGAGTGTGCAGGGGAAGGGGCCTGTAGTGTTTCTCAGCTGGTAAAGACCCAAGAAGTGAGGAGAACACATGCGAAGGAGGATTCAGAGCAGCAGGTGCCATGGTCTGTGTGATGTTCGGTTTAAACAGCCTCTGAATTACAGAGGGTGCACAGCACTGTGCAGATTAGCATGGTGGAGCTGGCAGCCCAGGTGCTCCCCAAAACAGGACCCCACTGCCCAGTGTGTCAGCACTGCCCGCTATGCCCTCGCGTCTGCCAAGAGAGACAGAAGCATGTTCCAAGGCACCTGGGAGCCCAAGGGGACTGTTGGGGGAGTGGACACCATAGGGTACAGAGGCTCCACTCTCCTCCCCATCCTAGAGTCGCCCTGTGTTGGCTTTGCTGTCTCCCCGAACCCCCACACCCTCCAGCAACTTGTTCTTCCCCTGGACTCTGCCGTTTCTCATCCACCCCTACCTCAGCCAGAGTTCATGACGCAGAATTTCCCCTCCATTTCCCTCCAGGGACAGAGAGTTACCACAGCCAGCCCTGCCCCGTGGGGCACTACTGTCCTGCTGGGACCCACAACCCCAGGCCCTGCCCATCAGGAACCTTTAGAAACAGCAGCCAGGCGGGGGCAGCGGGAGAGTGCCTGCCGTGCCCTGCAGGCACCTTCAGCGCCAGGCCTGGTCAGACTGGCTGCCTTCCCTGCGGGAGCTCTGCTTTCTCCCCACCCGGTGAGTCTCACTGACACCCACCACCCCACTGGCTAATTGCCCTTGTCGGCAGACACTGGCTCTAAACACACCAATTCTCCTATCACTGCAGCTTTGAGGGTCAACAGTGCCAGGTTTCAGAAAGCCATCTTATCTTTGAGCATAGCTGTTTTCCTAAAGCTGCAATAGGTGAGAGAATGGACATCCTGTGACTCCATGGCTCCAGTGTGTGCTGTGTGTGGGGATGAAATGTCTGTGCAATGACTTCAACAAGCAAGTGAGTGAGCGTGAGGAAACCAGCTTAGAGAGGTTGAGCAGCTTGCTCTAGATGACCTGGCTAGTAGGGGAGCTGGGGCTCTGCTCTGGGGCTCTGCTCTGAGTCTCTGCATGGTTCCGAGGCTGCTGAAGGCTCTTAATGGCAGCATCAGCCTGGCCCGGTTTCCCCAAGCCCGTGTCTGTCTTGGAAAGGCAGGATCAGGTGTGGAGCTGTAAGCACAGCTTTCAGCTTAGGCCAATGGCTTCTTGCTGATCCCCTTCCCCTCCCCTCATTTCAACAAGTGGTCTTCACATGGTTTTTGCTGTGTGAACCATTTGCACATGGTCCACTGTGCAAGCAGGAGAAGTAACCAGATAATCCCACAGTGGGAAATTTAAAAGTCAACCATATCACATTTAACCTCACTGGGGGCTCCCTCCAATCCTGCCCCCTACTGAGGGCTGACCCCTGATCTCCACTGACGGTGCTGGCAGACTTTATCTGGAACAGTAATGATGTTACCACACAAAACTGGGTTTCTCTTGTTGATGCACTTTAAAAACCCAATTATTACAGCATCAGCTTTTGGGAAAAGAAAACAGCTTTATTGCTAGAGCAATCTACAAGGAGACAGGGGCATATACCCCAGCTCTGTCTCTTCGATCTAGGGCTTGGGACACAATTTATGGGATGAAGAGCAGGGTGATCTGAAGTGGGAATAGATGATTGGAGGTGAGGAGAAGTGAGGTAACTGATGATCTGGCTCTTCATAGGACACGTGTTCAGAAAACGGCAGCATTACCATGATCTGAGGGTAAAGTTTTTAGCTCCTTGATATCAAAAAGGTCACTTATCGAGCGTTCGTGCAGGCCCAGTTGATGGATTGGTGGTCTCAACTGGCCTGAACTGGACAAGGGAGGACTCTCAGTTCCTGAAAGACAACTCTTAATTACTCTGCTGACAAGACGAGGTCGGTTGAACTGGTCCTAAAGGACCCGTAGTTACAAATCTCCAGCTTTTTGTTGTTCATTCCTCAATGTTGAGGGATATAGGGTGACAACTGCTCTAGCTTCTTACTGCTGATAAGGGGCATAGGTTGTTCCATCTCATTGAACCAGTCCCTTAGTAAGGCGGTGATGCACATGGGATCCCAAGGTTGGGCCTATATTGTGTAAGCAAGCAACCAGGTATTTAATAAGAAGCATTTCTAGAGAAACAAAAAGAAAAATAAGCTTAATGGTTGGAGCAAATTACAAACAGTGTCTGAGCCCAGGGGAAACCAGTAAAAAAGATTTCTAGATGTCAAAGTTGAAGCATCTTTTGCAGCTTGAAATGCCTCTGATGATGCCATCATGTGTTCAGGTATCTTTCTGAGTGGCTTACATAGCACCAGGCATGAATCTCTCCTAAGTTTTTTTTTTAATTTTTATTTTACTTTAATTGAATTCATAATAGTTTACATCAATGTGAGATTTCAGTTGTACATTATTTCTTGTCTGTCACCACATAAGTGGTCCCCTTCACCCCCTGTGCCCACTCCCCACCCCCTATCCCCTGGTAACCACTGAACTCTTTTCTTTGTTGATGTATTTGTTTATATTCCATATATGAGTGAAATCATCTGGTGTTCGTCTTTCTCTGACTGGCTTCTTTCGCTTAGCATAAATCCCTCCAGGACCATCCATGTTGTTGCAAATGGGATGATTTTGTCCTTTTTATGGCTGAGTAGTATTCCATTGTGTATATATACCACATGTTCTGTATCCAATCATCAGTCAGTGGGCACTTGGATAGTTTCCATGTCTCTGCTCTTGTGAATAGTGCTGCAATGAACATAGGGGTGCATATGTTACTTTGGATTATTGATTTTAAGTTGTTTGGGTAGATACCGAGTTGTGGGATAACTGGGTCGAATGGTATTTCTACTTTTAGTTTTTTGAGGAATCTCCATACTGTTTTCCCTGGTGGCTGCACCAGTTTGCGTTCCCATCAGCAGTGGATGAGGGTTACCTTCTCTCTACAGCCTCTCCAACATTGGTTATTTTTAGTCTTAGTGATTATAGCCATTTTAACAGGTGTAAGGGGGTGTAGTGTAGTTTTGATTTGCATTTCCCTGATGATTAGTGATGTTGAACATCTTTTCATGTGTTTATTGGCCATCTGTATATCTTCTTTGGAAAAATGTCTATTCATCTCCTCTGCCCATTTTTTTTTATCGGACTGTTTCATTTTTTGTTGTTCAGTTGTGTGAGTTCCCTATATATTATGGAGATTAACCTCTTATCAGATACATGATTTCCAAATGTTTTCTCCCAATTGGTGGGTTGTCTCTTTGTTTTGATCCTAGTTTCTTTTGCCTTGCAGAAGCTCTTTAGTCTGATGAACTCCCACTTGTTTATTTTTTCTTTTGTTTTCCTTGTCTGAGAACACATGGTATTCAAAAAGATGCTGTTGAGTTCGATGTCAAAGAGTGTACTACCTATGTTATCTTCCAGGAGTTTCATAGTTTCAGGACTTATCTTCAACTCTTCGATCCATTTTGAGTTTGTTTTTGTGTATTGCGTGAGATAATGGTCTACTTTCATTCTTTTGCATGTGGCTGTCCAGTTTTCCCGACACCATTTATTGAAGAGATTGTCTTTTCTCCATTGTATGTTCTTGGCATCTTTGTCAAAGATTAACTGTCTGTAGATGCGTGGTTTTATTTCTGCACTTTCAATTCTCTTCCATTGATCTGTGTGCCTGTTGTTGTAGCAGTACTGTTTTGATCACTATGGCTTTGTAGTACATTTTGAAGTCAGGGATTGTGATGCCTCAAACTTCATTCTTTTTTCTCTTAGCAGTTCGGGGTCTTTGGTTGCCCCATATGAATTTTAGGATTCTTTGTTCTATTTCCGTGAAGAATGTCATTGGGATTCTGATTGAGATTGCATTGAATCTGTAGGTTACTTTGGGTAGGATGGACATTTTAGCTATGTTTATTCTTC